GAAGGTAATCTGAGTGCCGCCATAATAAACATTCAAAAATTGATGACACTAAAAATGTGCTGCCAGAGGCAAGGCTGATGTCTATGTACTGTAGAGAGAGGAAAACAGTGGATCCCTGAGGAGTTTTCAGCCAATATGTAAGGGAGGAAACCGAGTGAAAAGCACCACAAAACTGCTCTTATTCAGCTAGAAAGTCTGAAAATAGCACTTGCTTATGGGTTCTGGTCTGCAACTAGGATGAAATAGTCAGAGATGGACTACACACACCCAGTTTGCTAAAGGACCTTTGAACCCAAGGGTAGGAAGCACGCCATCCTCTAGATGTTGTTGGATTTCAACTTCCAACAACTCTAGCCAGGAGTCCACTGTTCCTAAAATAGGTCTGCAGCTTCCAAAAAAACACATTGTTATGGTTATGAAGAATGGCATGCATGAGGTTAGCAACACACAACAGTTTCTATTAGAGATGTATTCATATATGAATATCCGCGCACAGGTGACGATAATGAGGGTCCAGCCCCATGTGACCGGACGGTCTACTCACTGATGTGCCGCTGATGCCGCGATTCTTCCAATGGCTCTACAGATCGCAATCTGTGAGCCACTCCTCAACCTTACAGTGAGGCTTGTCCTCCCACCTCCTGCCAGGAGTGGCTAGCTGATGGCAATCTGCGGAGCCATTGGAAGAATTGCGGCATCCACAGCAGCTGTAGATCGGTGAGTGGACTGTCCAGCCCCGTTATCGCCCCGCGTGAGGATATTCATATACGAATACCCCCCATCTCAAGTTTCTATAACTAAAAAGGTGGACAGGGTACCTGCAGCATATATGTGGAAGGGATGCATAGAAGGCTGATCCCATAATTGATCTATAGCTGGAAGTGGAGAACGAGTGGCTCTCCAGGTGCTTTTGCATTGCAATTCCCATCAGCTCGTGCCAATGGAGAGGGATGATGGGAGTTGTAAACCAAAAGGAGATCTCTATGCTTCTTGTACAAAATTACAGCTCAGATAATTTGTTAGCAACTATTACATGCTTACTACTTTTCCTACAATATTTCTTCCAGCTTTGCCAACCCTGTATGGTGGCATCATTGGGTCAAGCAAACAAACCTACTGCTAAACATACATGCGATGCTAAAGCATCTCTATCCTGTGTGATAGGATGAAGCCCTCTCCTGGCATTGCTCAACTTTTGCAAAAAGAATGGGCCGTGCAAGGCCCTTGAGACATTTTTGGACTGCTTCTCCCTCAGACCCTGCCAGCATGAACAATGGTTGAGGAAAAGCATTATTGCTCAACAACATCTGGAAGGCTGCAGACTTCTCATTCTACAACAGTGGCTCCCAACCTTGGGTTCCCAGATGTCCACCGCTAGCTGTGCTGGGCAGGATTCCTGGGAGATGTAGTCCAAGAGCATCTGGGGACTCAAGGTTGGGAACTACTAGTCTAGAGCACAGCACAATCAGAAGAACCTCGATTCCCTCTCTGTCTCTCTGGTTCACAATATGAGGTCTAAAACCACTACACTGCAATCATGCTATACAGTTGGCATACAAAATGCCTCACAATTCAAGCACCGAAAACTGCAAGTGAATGGTGCTGAAGCTGGAAAAGATCTCTGATGGAGACCCTGGAAAGCTATTGCCTCTCAGAGTAAGGCAGCATCAGGACAGATAGTTTAGCTCAGCATAAACAGCACCATATATAATTAAGTCACAACTGCATTTCTCTAAATAAGCCAAGTCATCAGCCTGCAGAGCTGACTGTCAATTATTTACATTACTATGCAATTTGCTTTACTATGCTTCTGATTTAACATAATAACCTTCCTAACATGGTTGTGAGAGCAGACACTGGACAGTTTGTCTAAGCTCCAAGGGAAGGCTCTGGTCTCTGATCTCCCTGTTCAGACCTAGTTCCATTTATTAAAGACCAAGTTTATGGTAGCCAAAAGTGAAGAATTACATCACTAAGACTGCCAAATAATGCCAGCTGGGTTTGGTGTTGAGTCTGCACTCCAAAGCCCGTCCGGCAATAACCTCAATTTTGGATGGATTCTCTTGCCACTGGCTATTAATGTTCCCAGAACCATCATCAGCAAATCAATTGAGAATTAAGAGATAACATCTAAGAGACATAATAGAGAGTGTCAGTTGCCCTGACAACTATGGCAAATGTCCAGAAGAAATGGAGCAAGACTATCATCCCATGACTACCCTTGTGAGACATGTGGCTTGCCCATGTTGCCATGGCTTAAAGAGACAAAACAAGTATAATGCTGAGTAAATGATGCAAGGAAGGCTAGAAAAAATTGCTTCAAAGACATCAAATGATATTTCCATGGCAGAAAAGATTTGCAAACCCCCCTCCCACACACACACTGCACACAGGTATATTTTGCTACAGTCTGTTGGGTTCAATTAGTGCATTTACTCAGCCCACTTCTGAATAAACAGACTGCACACGTGCCATCTAATTGCTTGGGGTGGGGGGTTCTCATGTGCAACTGAAATGCTCAAAAATACAGCTCACCGGGCCAGTGAGGGAAAAGTAGAACCAGCCCTCCTTTTTCTACACAGCTCTAGAAGTCTCAGAAGCCCTATCCTCCTCTGCATCTTAAAGAAGATGTCTGGGAAAAATCCCAGAATATGTGTGGCACCACCTGTCCAGAAAGCAGGCACAGCCTTCCAGAGTTTCTGGACCTTGGCTGCCAGAAAATCCAGCCACCATGACTAGCAAGTGGAAAGAATTCAGGGGCATGTTGTTCAAAATGCCTGGAAAGCCACAGGTTGTCATGGTTGCCTGTTTTTGTTCCCTTTTCAATGTCAGATCCTTTTGGTCCACTCAAGCCTTGAAAAATAGTCGATATTTGCTGTTTTATATTTTATCCGTAAGCTGCCCAGAGAACCTCTGTTCTAAACAGCTGTGTTTAGAACAGAAAAATATATGAGGTGCTCAGCTGCTCAAGCTGCAAATAATTCGCTGCTGACAATGCAAGATTTTCACCACTTGTAAGGCAATTTTTTTATGGACAGCTGAATCCTAAACATCTCATGCACTGTTGGCCTCTGATGAACTTCTGTCTGCCCCAAGTAATTATTTCAGTTATATAACTGGTATTGTGAGTGCAACACACTCTCTAGAGTGGTGAAGTTCATCATCATCATCATCAATGAACTGCAGAGATAGAAGGGACCCCATGCGTCATTGAGCCCAGCCCCTGTTAAGGAGGCACAGTGAGGAATCAAATTCCCAACCTCTCTCTGTCTCTGTAACCAGGTGCCTAAACCACTGAGCTATGGATATGGCTACAGATTAGCATAGTTTGTCCTCTTTTTGAAGAAGAAGAAGACCATTTCCATCAAGTTTATCATTAAAATAAGAGGTGAGTCTTTAAGGTTGAATAGCAGCATGCTAATGGATGCACAGGTGACTAACTTTCCCAGTACGAGTTCGTAAGACAGGGGAACAGCGGGCAGTCAGCTGGCCCTGGACTCTTTGGACCAGACCTGGGCAAAGTGCGGCCCTCCAGATGTTGCTGAACTGCAACTCCCAGCAATCCTAGCCCACACAGCCAATAGTGAGGAGTGTTTGCAGTTCAGCAACATCTGGAGGGCTGCACTTCGCCCAGGTCCGCTTTGGACTGTTGAGATGTCACACACACTGAAGTGATGAAGTGAATAGGAATGGATCTGGAGATCCACAATGAAATCGTCACTTGGTATGGAGCCCTCTAAGGTACACTTTGGGCCACTCACCACTCCGCAAACTCTCCTTCCTCACGGGGTTGCTGTATAGTTTATGTGGAAAGGAGGTAAAGTTATGGAGGAAAAGCTGAATATCAATTTAACTATTCTGTCAGAACATACAGTATATCTCTTACTTGCAAGGGTGCAATCACATGTGTCTACTCACAGTGAAGATGACTGCACTGTGAATCAATCCCTATTTTAAATTCCATTGCTGTTCACCATCTGAAGAACATATGATAGGAAGATTATGCCTTTTTAAAAGCTCTCATGTCTTAACGTGTTGCCTATTATCCTGGAGGTACATGCCATAAAGCCAAGGGATTGGGGCTTGACCATTGTGGCTCTCCAGATAGATTTTTGCCTACAATTCCCATCAGCCCCAGCCAACAGTCAATACTAAGGAATTATGGGAGCAGCAGTCCAAGAAATATCTGGAGGTCACAGTCACTCATTCCTGTAATAGATAAATAAGTAGTGAAGCACACATAAGTCCAGCAAGCAGAGCTGTAAACAACTCTTCTCCAGTTCTCTGTGGCAAAAGATCTTCTCAGCACAGATAATGTGATTCTCCCATTATTTAGCTACTGATACGTTACACAAAGCTAACACACAAATGGGAAGCTACATTAAAAACCTTGTGAACAAGAATATTATATGTTTGTATATTTGTTTACAAGGCTACCCTGTAGTCCTTATTTTGACTGAGGTCTAAGTCCCTGTAAACCTAGTAGGGCTTTCTTCTCAATAAATGTGTGCATGTGTGTGTTTGTACACACACACACACATACACAAGTCTAAGAGTGACTAACAAACAGAAATATTTAAGCAACCTGTTTTAAGCAAAATGTTCTGGCATGCCTCTTGTTCGGTGGCTCAGAACCTGAAGTACCTCCATACCCACTCCTCCTCTAAGCAGCTCTTTCCAAACACTGGGCTGTAGGTGACCCGTTCTTATTCCTTATTTTTGTGGCTCCACAACTATTTCGGGGTTAAAACGACGTCATCTTCTATACACAACAATATTATGCGTGGGAGTACCCCTCGTTGTATACCCCCCACCCCACCCCACAACCACCGCTACCTCCTATGCAGGGCAAGTCTGGGATGGATTGAGAGAGAACCTGGCAACCCAACTCAGAGATCTACCCGCATTCACACGTACACACATAGACCCGGGTTTCCCTTCTCGTTTTCTCTCTCTCTCTCCTTCCCTCCTTCGGCTGCTTCTCTCTATCGGGGACTCACCCGAGAGACCTCCGGCGGCAGCGGTGCACGGTTGTCGGAGGCTCGGGGCCAGGTTCCAGGCGAGAAAGACCGACAGCCCCGAAATCGTCCCAGCCGCCGCGTAGGCCAAGCGGATCGCCAGCTTCTTCGTCACCGCCATCCCGAAGCCGA